GTTGCTCATGCTTTCAACCACTGGTTTGTGTAATCAAGACTTGGGTATTTACAGGGGCCCAATTATAGCTTGAATATAACTGACGGCTGCATTAAACAACATTCACAACATTAAACAACATTCACAAAATCAAAACAACAATATTAAGCTACATTCACAACATTTAACAAAATTCACAACATTAAAAACCATTAAACAACATTAAGCAACATTCGCAAAATATAACAACATTAAACAACCACATAAAGCAACATTCACAACACTCACAACATTAAACAACATTTACTACATTAAACAACCACATTAAGCAACATTCACAACATTAAACTGCATTCACAACATTAAACAACATTCACACCATTAAACTGCATTCACACCATTAAACAACATTCACACCATTAAGCAACATTCGCAACATAAAACACCATTTACAACATTTAACAACATTCACTACATTTAACAACATTCACTACATTAAACAACAACATTAAACAACATTTACAACATTAAGCAACATTCACAATAAAACAACATTTACAACATTAAGCAACATTCACAACATTAAGCGACATTAAACAATAGAATTAAGCAACATTCACAGCATAAAACAACATTCACAACATTCAACAACATTTACAACATTACAGTTACATACAGTCGAGGTTGGGCGACAAACAACCATCCATCTCACACAAAGGCTTCGGACAGATTGGAGACAGATTTCCCAAGTCGTTGTTACTGAATATGCTTTGTTTGTTTGTTTGTTTGTTTTTCCCTTAACGCCGCATTCTGCAATATTCCAGCTATATGATAGCGATCTGTAAATAATCGAGTGTACACCAGACAATCCAGTGATTGACATCATGAGCATCGATTAGCTGACGATTCAGCCAGTTCAGTCAGTTAGGGACATACACACACACAAACAACCTCAGTGAGTGAGTGAGTAATGGTTTTCCGCCGCTCTTTGCAATATTCCAGCATTATCACAGCGGGGGACAGCTGAAATGGGCTTCACACATTGTACCCATGTCGGGAATCGAACCCGGGTCTTCGGCGTGACGAGCGAGCGCTTTAACCACTAGGCTACCCGACCGCCCCTACAAACAACACCATCCCACCCACCGACCACCACCAAATATTTACTGGTTTGCTCCAAACAACGACAGGATGGAATGAGATATGTTCTTGGTGTTGAAAGCGCTGCTATACACAATGGAGTACAATGGATCCTTTAGACAGCATGGACAATTGGATGTGTGCTTTGTACATGTTTCCAAGGAGACAGCGCCTCTAAAACACCACAACTTCATGACAACGCCTCGTTATAACAATATCGTTTCGTTTCGCGACAGTTCATGAGGCCGTTAGGTGGCGCAGAAGAACCTTCGTAGAACTATGTGATGTTGACGTCTGCATTGCCAGGAACACAATCAGTTGTCGTTCTTGACAAGGCTTATTGATTAAGTTCACCTGCACCTTTCCAAACACTTGGTCCAGCTTTTCTATATCTATTCTGACACTTCAGCTATTCTGATAGAAGGTCATTGAAGCGGGGTGGGAGGGTAGAAAAGGTTGTTAATTGGTGTGCATTGTTGTGTAGGCGTTTTACTGAAATACTTTAAAATTCCAAATACGCCTGATTACATTTTTGGTTTGTCAACATCCCACCTGTGCTCGAAGATTTGGCCAAAGTGATAAACAAAGTCCTACGTCACAGCATGTTTTCCTCTCCCGTCAAGGTGACGCCGTGATATGTTTTGACATACATATGCCTGTAATAATATCAGTGGCGTTAACCCAACTCACTCACCAAGGTGTATAGTCAGGTTATTGGTTATATTTGTCAAAAGAAACGATTGCGACACTGAAATGCTTTTAATGGGAACCACGCTCTAAGGTCTGTTGCCTCTTTCAGCTGGGGCAGGAGCAGCAAATCAATCAAGTCATCGAGTCTGACAACACGATCCTTTTCCTCGCCTCTTACGACAAGCACAGATTGCTGGGAGCTATATTCCTACCCGGGATCCTCATAGGTATGTCTCAACACATGGGTAAACATGTACATTTTAAAATTGGAGATTAAATTGAAATATAGCTTATTTCTTATGACTTGAATCACATGTGCTGGGAGTGCCAAATTGACCCGGGCTTATATCTCCTTTGAAACAAATGTTATCAACTAGAAAATACATGAAAAAAAACCCATACATATGATGGTTTTAGAGTCCTTTTGTCAGTGAGAGAAGGTGTTGGAGGGGTTTCTAGGTGATTGCCATGGCATGGGTTGAAGGTACATCAGCTTGCTAGTCTCCTTGCACCAAGCGTATCTCGCAAAGGGTTGTTGTTAAATGGTACGCAAGATATAAGCGTGGATTTTGACTACACAGAATCTTGATTGGGATGCCGGTGTCATACTTGCCATAGTCCTACAAAGATAGCACACCCCGGATATTATATAGTGGAGAAAATAGACCCCCAAGCCCAGGAATCAGTCCGAATCGTTATTTATAAGGAATCGGTGTCCCGGTTTAGGCAGGAGCATTTTATGTTCTTGGGTTAGTAAACGGTCCTACGGACCAGTTTCTATAAGACCAGAAGTACTTTTACACCGGTTCATAGAATATTCCCGACTTCATATGGGTCGATGAAAATTGATGCATTGACCACGGAAGGACAACTTAATGATTTTTCATCCGTCATGTTATCTTACACATGTGGGTTACCTTGGCAAATCAATAATTGTGTAAGCATCCTTATATATTATCATTTTCTGGCATGCCTAAGTGACAAAGTTCTGATAGAGCGTTCCCTTGTCAATCATAAATCGATGCCTGCTGTCATTCGAGACTTACAAGATTTCAATAGTACATCTTTCTAATTCAAAATAAAAACACAAATTACGGGATCTACAATGTATACACCTGTCAACTGTTAGCGCCACCTCATCTTTAGTTTCAGCTGTCCCTAACGTCCATATACGTTATGGACATATGTCCCTGTGATACGCTGGGATGGCACCGATCCCTGTTGCAAAGTTGGTATAAGACACTGTGTTCCTCTAGATGAGGGCGGTCGGGTAGCCTAGTGGTTAAAGCGTTCGCTCGTCACGCCGAAGACCCGGGTTCGATTCCCGACATGGGTACAATGTGTGAAGCCCATTTCTGGTGTCCCCCGCCGTGATATTGCTGGAATATTGCTAAAAACGGCGTAAAACCATATTCATTCACCCACTCACTCCTCTAGATGAACGCAAGGACTGGATCAGATCATTACATGACTTACTGGTGTTTATTGATTCTTCGTGCGTCACCGGGGTATAATACTTATTTATACAGTCACCACCTAATTGTTACTAGGGGATCGTTATACATAGGTGTTAAGTGAGTGACAATCACCTCCTAACTGGCGATAGGGGATCGCACAAAAGAAATTAAGTCTGTCTGTTTACCCGGCTGCATTTTCAACAGTTAACCCACAAATTTGATAAATTGAAAATGGCCGCCAACGAAACTTTAAAAATTAATTTTTGTCATATCTTTGGTACTTAACATGGGAAAGTCCGCAAATAAAACATTTCTCTGTACGTTTTCATGTACAAGGAATCCATTGAAACCACACGTTAACCCACAATATGTCAAGAAATCAAGATGGCCGCAATATTAGGGCAAATTCGATTATTAACTGCGTCTGATGCAAACAGAGTCTTATATACATGAGTGACTTAATTTTATCATAATATATGGTTGTAATGTGGGAGAAACTAACTGTAAATGATACAGCTATAGTTAAATATGGTTGTTTGCCTTCACCGTTAACATTTTTGATTGAAAATTCACACAGTCTTGTCACTAATCAACGTGGTATAGGAATGAGCTGCATAGTAGATGTGAAATGTTATCTCTATAACTTTTCTCATATTAAATATCAATCCATGCATAATGCACATATAACAATGCAGAAATATGAAACTTTTATCTTTTATTTTAAATTGTTGTAATTTTACATAACTAACTGTGTGTGGAGGACCACTTATTGACGCCAGAAACCTATGATTGTGGGTTCGAATCCCGGTTCACCCCGATTATGCACCATACCCGTGCTCGTGGGTTTCACCGAAGTGGTAAACATCTGAGACTTGCATCACTTCGGGCTTTCCTCCCACATTAAGCTGACACGCCGTGATATAACTGAATACTGTTAAAGCGGCGTCAAACCCAACTTAGTCAATCCATCTCATCTTTATCAGGCTTAAAAGCCACACATTATTCTTTTTGAAAGGGATTTGTTTTTTGCTCAGAAACAATGTAACCCATTTCACACAATGGCTTTCTGAAATGAACGAAACGATAATGCATTGTTACCCCCAACAGTCAATTATAAATGGGCGTTCATGTTTGAAATTGCAAAGAGCCATTATTACAGTGATTGTGGTGGGAACAAAATCAATCATTAATAAAATCAATAGAAATATATTTTTTACACGCAATACTTAAAGAAGACTGTAATAATCGATATTGTCGTGGCGCGGGAATTCCGTTTGGCTTAAGGTAGACTGCAATTTAACAAAACCTAATGTGCCATAAACCGATCGATTGTTATGTTTCAGAATACAGTGAAACGTCTTCAACTCCAACATCATTTTCTCGATTAAATGATGCGGAGTGGATTTAACACACATCTGGGGACCCGCAAACAATGCCTGTTAAGACAGCGTGCCGGACAACTCGCTTTTGTCAAGGGGTATTTGTCTGCCATAACTATGGTCTCTGCACCAATCTGCTTGACTCGAACTATGGGTAACTCGACGTTTGTCAAGGGGTATTTGGCTGCCATGACCACGGTCTCTGCATCCATCTACTTGTCTCGAACTACGGGTAACTCGACCTATTTACAATGGTCATCGGAAGTTCGAGTTAACAGGTGTTGCTGTGTTATATTGGTCTCATAGAAAGAGTATTTAACTGACGCCACAGTTGCGGACATAGTTTTTCACTTACCGAACGCAAGCTTGTGTCTTCTGACAATAAACCTGCAAAATGCTATTGTCTTCACAGGTTTCAGCTCCTTCTGTGACGTGGTATCGCTCTGCTGGTGTTCCCCCTGTCCACCCATCCTCTTGCCGTTGATATCTGTGTCTCCCCCCACGCCCTCCTCTAACGTCACTCCGTTTGTGTTAGGGGCAGAGTTGTCTCCCATGATTCAAGTTGGCGCCAACGTAATGTGAGGGATTTCGTAGACGCTGGGTCCAAAGTACCTGAAATTAAAGCATCCGGTTTGATCTGGAACTGCAGTGGTCTCATCGTTCAGGAAAAAACCCACTTAAATTCCCAAATTCCTAAACTTATCCCATCGTGGACGTACGTCACTGCCATTCCAGACAGTCAGCCGATAATCTGTTCTAACAGGAAGGCGCCGCGATTCGCTGTGCAGAGTTGCGTCCCTTGGGCACGCCAGAAACCTATGATTGTGGGTTCGAATCCCGGTTCGCCCCTGAGACCTGCATCACTTCGGACTTTCCTCCCACATTAAGCTGACACGCCGTGATATAACTGGAATACTGTTAAAAACGGCGTTAAACACCACTCACTCACTCATTTAAACAGGAAATAATTGTATGGAAACGTAACCAAAACGTTGGGTTAAATGTGGAAAGAGCGTAGAAAGCATTGTATTTAATTATCAATATAGTTTATGGCACTTAAATTCCTTATTTCCATTGATATTTTGTGTAAATCAAATTGATTATTGTTTATTTGTTAATTTGAAACACCGATTACGTCGTTCTAATACAGGGGAATGCAAGTCTCAATCAAGATAATAATTAACTGAACATGTTATTGTCATGTTTTTGTACCAATTGGAACAAGGACAGTTAAAACATTGACGTAAATCACTTTAATAGCTCCGGGTTCTCTCGTTATTGATCAAGATTCTCGCGTGATTGGTCTGTGTTCACGCGTCAAGGTCAAGGTTCACGTGTATGCCGGCCGAGATCAAGCTAGGGGTGCTAAGTGTTTGCCAGTCACGCTGCTACCAATTTATCTGGTGTTAGTATAATGCACACAAACATGAAATATTTGACGAAAGCTACAAATCTCGCGAGAATAGTTCTAACGGTTATTTACCGTATCGAACCCTCATAATGGGCTTAATATCCTCATAATGCCCGATGCAATTCCCTATTTTGACTTGTACCATATGTTTCCGTGTTTTGTCGGGTGAACAATTGACTTGCCTTTGCATGTGTTTGTGACGGGTGCCACCGTTGGGGCAGGATACGCTCACCTATTCGCAAACACGATCACTGTTTGAAAGTGATTCATAAACACATGTTATGACACAGTCGGAATCGTATTATCGACTCTGCTTAATGCAGAGATTTCTTTTGGATGTAAAAAGGTTTTTGTCGCTTTAAATAATTATATCTTTATGTCGAACAATATTCCAACACCACCAGCCAACATTTCGCATACAGTAAAGTACGGTTATAACGAACTCAAGGGGACTACTTATTTTTGTTCGTTATAACCGTAGTTCGTTATAAGCATATATACAGCATAACTACAGCAACTAGTCGGGACCAAAAAAGGAAGTTCGTTATATCCGTCAGTTCGTTAAAAGCGTGTTCGTTATAACCGTAGTTTACTGTATTATGTTCTTGTTGACAACCAACGCTCTATGCATGGACGTGTGACAATTTGAATATTGTATCTATACAGTAACTGCGGGGGAAATGATTGGATAATTTGTATCACACAAACCTAATCGATAAAGTGGACAGTCCCCAGCAATTTATTTGGTTATTGGTTTACTCAAATGCAAAATGATAAATATATAAAAAAATTAATTTATATATTTTTTTTATCCTACCATGTTTTACCCATGTTTACCCATGTTTTACCGATCAATTTGTCAAAACAACTAATACAAACACCCGCATCACAAACAACAATCAAGCGGTGTTGTTATTTCTGTTAATTCTACAAAAAGAACAACAGTGCATACATTGTAACGGATGTGAAACGACCTTTGGCGCGGGAATTGTGAATAATTAAAACAACACTTAAAGTCGGGAACTAGTTTTCATGACTAACTACTGTTTTGGTACAATAAGCCTATTCCACACGATGGATGTCTGTCGGGGATTAATCCCTCAAGTAGACAACTGAATGTCGTCGATGAATTTACTAATTATTGACGGAAGTAGCAGACACGGAAATCAACCAGATGAGCAGACAGAAAAAGACCTTAATGCAGAAGCAAGCAGACCGGAACCCGCCTCGATGCAAAATGAGTAAGTTGGGTTTAACGCCGCTTTTAACAGTATTCCAGTTATATCGCGGCGTGTCAGATTAATATGGGAGGAAAGCCCGAAATGATGCAGGTCTCAGACGTTTACTACTTCGATGAAACTCACGAGCACGGGTATGGTGCTGACAAACCTAGAAACATAATCGGTTTGAACCCACAATCATAGGTTTCTGGCTTGCCAAGGGATGCAACTCTGCACAGAGAATCGCGGCGCCTTAGACGACTGGGCCATCCGTGCCCCCTGATGCAAAATGATAATAAATAATTTTAATTGATATTTAATTTATTTGTTTTGTCCCCCGCCCGTTTTACCGATCAATTTAGCAAAACAACTTATACAAAAGCAAGGCTCGAGGATCAGAACCCTTACCTTTCATTCTATATTTAAGTGGCAGCACATGTCTTCTATATCACGACGGTTGTGAACAATCGATTGGGACAAGGCAAACGTGTGTCTGATAGCATGATCAACTATCAACCTCATCAGCTGAGTCACAGAACCTGTCCACCCGATCCTCTTTAGTTTGTTCTGTCGACAAACACGTGAGCCCACTTTCCCAAGCGTCGCCAACTGGCGGCAGTGATGACGAGTGTTTATGGTATTTAACAATTTCAACACAATGTAGAATAAACTGCATTAAATAGAAATTTCATCTACTGCTGGTTCATGGAGAAACAAGTTCAAACGTTATATGGGAAGTGAGTGAATATGGTTTTACGTCGCTTTTAGCAATATTCCAACAATATTACGGCGGTGGACACCAGAAATGGCCTTTACACATTGTACCCATGTCGGGAATCGAACTCGGGTCTTCGGAGTGACGAGCGAACGCTTTAACCACTAGGCTACCGAACCGCCCCTATATGGGAGGTAGTTACATTCGTCACCTAAAGGATCTGTCATATACCACGCATTTCCATATTCACGTCCCTATTACGCTACATAATAGCATGGACGTTTGGACCTCATGCAACCACTTTGGTGTTGAGCAATTTAAATGTTAATTGGAATTATTTCATTACTGAAATTCGAGGAGAAATTCAATTATAAAAATTGCTTATAATAATAACCTTAATGAAATTTTAACCTGGCCTCAAACAAGAAATAGAAAAATTGAAAATATCGGAGATACTGTCACCAAAGGTGATAATGAAAGATGGAGCAGAGAATTGTGGGATGACCGAAATAATATAAATGACAATAAGCTTAAAACATTCAGGCAATATAAGACGAAAATGTTGTTGAATCGTATGTTTTAATTAAAAAAATATAGACCACCGTTGAATTTTAGCTGTGTTTTAATGTGGATCTTAACCCTTGTCCTAGAAGCTGGTATATTGTTGAGTGAGTGAGTGAGTATGGTTTTACGCCGCTTTTAGCAATATTCCAGCAATATCACGGCTTGGGACACCAGAAATGGGATTCACACATTGTACCCATGTCGGGAATCGAACCCGGGTCTTCGGCGTGACGAGCGAACGCTTTCACCACTAGGCTACCCGACCGCCCCTTAAGTGTTAAGAAGTCACAGCTAGTAACAAGATCCGTGAAGGTGCCCGTAGAGGCCATCGTCGTGAAATGTATACTCGGAAATCAATACAAGATCAATTATTTCAATGCCAGGTAGGATCGATATTTGTGTCAGCATGCATCCATTTCCTAGACAGAATTATTCATGGTAAATAAGCCGTTTAGTTGAGGTACCCTCCATTGCTGTTTTATGGGAACCAGAAGTATGGTACCTGGACGTACATTATCGACGTATTGATTCGTTGGTCCGCAAAACCCGCCTGGTGTGTTCTATTGACAGTTAAGTGAGTGTTGTACTCTGAAACATAATATGTCTGTTTCTAAAAGTGTCCCCTCCATATATAACTTGGGCACTGATGATACCACCTCAAACAGCATCCAATGACCCAAGCGGCACGAAGGTTCAGATCTTAAAGGTGATAGTGGAAAAATGTAATGCGATTTTGTTGAGAGTATCATTTTGGCATCAAGTCAAATTCCAAGAGAAAATTAACATTCGTAGAAAGTATTTAAATTTCCGAGTGAAAGTTCCGAAATCACGCTCCGATATCGGCTTCTGAAGAAAACCTATTTTGGGGCGTGACCTAAAGCTCTCGGCGCACCGGCGAATCAGTGCGTGACAAATGGACTTGGTTGACGCGTCGATCAACCATATTATCTTGTCATAATGTGCAGCTGTATCGATACGTGGGGAGGCGGTCACTCGCAACGCAAAGAAGTGTGGAAATTTCTGTTAATCCTACGAATATAACAACATTACATATATTGTTAACCGTGTGAAAAGACCTCTGATGCTGACCTAGTGAATAATTGAAATAACAATTTTTGTCGGTAACTGGCTTTTTTGTGACTAGCATCCTGTTTGGGAAGTATAAACCGATTCCACATGATGAATGTATGTCATGGATTAATCTCTAGGTAGATGAATGAAGGTATCGTGTATGAATTTACTAATTATTGGTTGCAGACACGGAAATCAAACAGATGAGCAGACAGAAAAGCCCCTTAATGAAATTTAAAAATCCGAGACAGAAGCAGACTGGACCCCGCCTTGTAATTACGCAGCGCGTCGAAAACTTAAACCCAGTGGAAGATTTTTGCGCTTGGGGACGATTTTGCCTGCCATTTTTATAGTCTGTTATCGGTTTTTCTCCTTTTCAAATTTACTTTTGGTCAAGAATTGTGATTCAGTATTCCCTAATGTTTAAAATCTTAAAAGTCTTTTTGTTGAGTTGACTTGCCCCTTTAAGGATGGTTTATGATTAATGTGATAGCTGAAATAACTGACATCATCTTAATCCGGATAGCGTTCAGATATTCAGGGCATTATGTCGGAAAACGACGACATGCATTGCTTTTAACGTTTTCCGTCGTGTTCTTCGTCATCTGATAATGGACACATTAAGCAGTAT